TCTGTCCCCTGGCCTACTCTTTGTTAGTGGTTCCCAAAGCAGAGCGTCACTGACACAGTTCTGACAACCTTTAGTCTTCACAACCCTCATCTATCTTCTAGAACCTTCTTGCCCTGCTATGTTGTGTGCCACGAGTCCCATGGGCTGGCCCAAGTCCACCAGTGCATGAAGGTTCGCGGAGCTCCTTGCCTGTGGAGGTGCGTTACATGGGGGAGGACGGCCGTGGGGAAGGCATTCTCACGAGTGAGTGCCTGGGTTCTCGGCCCCTCCGGCAGTGCAGGCCCCTGCTCTGAATTACCTTCTAGGGCTTTCTGCCAAGCTCAGGCACTGCTGCTGACCCAGCTCCTTCCCCAGGAAAACTGGAATCACATGGTGTGACAGTGGGCACGTCATTCCGCCTCTCTGCACCTCGGCTGCCTCACCATATGCAAAATGGGGTCCATAACAGCCCCTACTTCACAGGGCCCCTGAGCACAGTGATGCATGCCAGCTGCTGCTGTTCTGGCTACCTCTGCCCCTCGGGGCCGGAGACCTGGCCCAGCCAGGCCCAGAGAGGGTGTGTGGGGTGTGGGGGAGCCAGGAAGCTGGGTGGGGCAGGTGTGAGGAGGGGGACCTCCCTCTCAGAGGAGTCACTCCCTCCAAGCATGGTGACTGCCAGGGGAAGGGGCTGCAGACAGTGTGTCCCATGTCACAGCCCCCACCCCAGCCCTGAGCAGGGGCCGCCCTCTGAGTCACCCACTCATGTGGACTGATGAGTCTTATCACAGGCTGAGGTGTGGCCAGGGACAGTCTTCGCGGTCCCCAAAGTGACATCAGTGATGAGCTCATCTGATGTGACGCCCGGGCCTGGACAAGGTTCAGGTAAAAGGGCAGAGCCTGCCCCGTGTCTGGAGGGCCTGACCCAAGGACAAGGGCAGACCCCCTGCCAGCTGTGTACAGAGGTGTGGGGGGCAGGACAGGGTGCCCCTGGGGAAGGCAGACCCCGCCCACCTTGGCCCAGCCTGGGTACACTCAGTTCTGTTCCCATCAGTGTAAGCAACTGTGGCCAACGCCCAGTGCACCAGTGCTGGGGAAACGGACCCTGTCCCTCTCCGCAAGGGGCCGCCATCTGGGGTGGGGTCGGCCATAAGCTAAAGGGTGACCATGTCATAACTGCAACCTGGAGCTAGGTCACTTTTTACATCCGGAGCTCCTACCTGTAGCTGGAGCCTGAGCCCAGGGAGTGTATCCCCTTTGCCCAATAATTTGGGGCACTTCTCATTGGCTCACAAATAAGGGGGAGTGCAGGGGCATGACTGCCCTCGGTTCCTGCACAGTCATGCCCAGTCCCCTGGGATGAGAGCTGGCATGCTGGGCAGCCCCCCAGAGCCCACAGGATGCCTGGCCGCTGGGAGAATGCCTCTGTCCCCTGGCCTACTCTTTGTTAGTGGTTCCCAAAGCAGAGCGTCACTGACACAGTTCTGACAACCTTTAGTCTTCACAACCCTCATCTATCTTCTAGAACCTTCTTGCCCTGCTATGTTGTGTGCCACGAGTCCCATGGGCTGGCCCAAGTCCACCAGTGCATGAAGGTTCGCGGAGCTCCTTGCCTGTGGAGGTGCGTTACATGGGGGAGGACGGCCATGGGGAAGGCATTCTCACGAGTGAGTGCCTGGGTTCTCGGCCCCTCCGGCAGTGCAGGCCCCTGCTCTGAATTACCTTCTAGGGCTTTCTGCCAAGCTCAGGCACTGCTGCTGACCCAGCTCCTTCCCCAGGAAAACTGGAATCACACGTGCAGGGCCTCCTGCAGGGCCACAGGCTGTCTTGCCGCTGGTCCCCAACAAAGAACTTTTTATGGGGAACACGTGGGACTTTGCCGCGGAGGATGCTGTCAGAACATCCCAGAGCTCCTTCCTTCTGAGGTTCCCTGGGGAGCCTGCCTCTCCTCTTGATAGCGAGGAGAATGAGGCTGCTTTGGAGAAAGTGGTTTGTGTCCATCACCTGGGCCTCATGTGTCCCTCTTTGCCCTGGCTACCAGGAGGCTCAGAGCCAAACAGATGGGCGCACACTAAAAAACATCATTTCATGACAAGAATTTGTATACTAACACATGGCTCTGGCTTCCCATTACTTTTCCACCATTCTTTTTTACTTAACTTTATTTCCCTTCCCTCCTTTTTATCTTGTTCTTATTTGTAAAAAGCCTCAAATATTTTAAGAGAGGGGACGAAGGGGAGTAAATATAAATGAATAAATGATAAATGTACATAAATAAAACAAGCCTCCGAGCATCTGTTGGAGAAGGAACTGTGACAACATGTGAGAGAGGGTTTGGCGAGCTGCCCGGACCCAGCAGCAGACCCGAATCTGAAGTCTGGGCGGGTGGCGGTGTGCCTCCCTTGAGTCCTGACTTTCCCTAAAGCACCACCTGGCACAGCCTAGGCCTTCAAGTAGCCCTGAGCCCCGGGAGGAGCAGGGCACCTCCATGGCAGACCAGCAAGCGCCTGTGTGCGTCCTGGTTGCCTGTGCTGCAGGGCCCTGCTCCCGCCATCCCCCACCGCTGCCTCTGACATCTGGAAACGGAGTCCCTTTCAAGCTGACAGCACTCTGGGCCTCAGGCCAGCCCAAGCGCACTGCAGCCTCCATGCGCCAGGCCTGCCCAGTCATGAAGAACAAAGGCGACCCCAGGAGACTGCCCTCTGGCTTCCTGGGGGTCAAAGGAAACTGCTTTCACTTTGGGCCTCAGTTTCCCCATCTGAGGAATAAACATCCTCTTTGCCAGGAGGTTGTAAAGGCCAAACCAGGTGACCGATGGAGGCAGTGTGGTCTCCAGGGAAAGGGCTGTACTGGACTGGCAGAGAGACCCAGGCCTCAGTGCCAGCCTGCCATATGCTGTGGCTGCCTTCACCTTCCAGAGCCTCCTCCCAAGGATCAGAATACCCACCTCCCGGCTGGTGTGAATGTTGAGTCACACAATGTACCCAGAGCATCTGAACAGCCTCAGGGCCCAAGAAGCAGTTGCTGTCATTTGTAAACTATAAACGGCCATGCGAGCTCTTGTCTGCAGCAGCAGCCAGCCCTGGGACCTCTCTGAGACTCAGTTTCCCCATCTGTAGACAAAGGATTTAGAAGAATGAGTTCTTGGCCCTTCTGCCTTTCTGTGCACTGAAGAATCCAGGTGTGCAACAGCATTGCCCTGAGGGATGGGCATCTACAGCACCACGTGGTCCCCCGAAGAGTCTGCTCTGGGTCATCGTGCCCTCCGTGAGATCCTGGGCCAGGGGGCCTTCCTCTGCCTCAGGCCTGAGCTTGCTCTGCAGGAGATGAGAAGCCCCAGCGTTGGGGGAAGCCCAGCCCAGCCCAGCCCAGCCCTGGGATCCCCAGCCCCTGGCATCCAAGGTCATTCTAAAGACAGGCCTGCAAGTCTGTATGTTTTCACAGCAAAATGCGCTTCCAGTTTCTCGAGGCCCAAATGCACGTCCTGCTGCCTCCGCCACAGCCCAGCCCCCTGCTGCCCTTCCTGCCCCTGCCCCTGCCTCGCCCAGCTCCTGGGGGTGCTCCGCTCCAGGTGCCCTAATCTGAGCCACCTCCTCTAGCAGGGCCACACCCCACCGGATCCCTGGCAGGGCCATCTTTCACGGACCCAGCACCAGCCCCCAGCTCCCTCCCCATCCTCTGAGCCAGAGGTCTCAACCTGGGTGCTGGAAAGCTGGGATGCACACAGACACCGGCTTCATTTCCAGGAACACCTCCCCATGAAGTCCGTATTTCTTCCATGGTGAAATAGGTCCGAGCCACAGTCTGTGACCCTGTCACCAAGAAAACACACAGGTGCTCCCACCCACATGCGGTTGCTGCAGGCGCTCCAGGATCCCTTCCGCCCTGCTGTCCTGGGCATCTCAGCTGGCATCCTGCTGTGGGCCAGGTGCTGTTTACTGTGTTCACAGAGTAGCCTGTGTATGCATGCTGAATTTGTTGTTTAATATATTTTAATAACTGTACCAATAGCACTGTTTCCTTTTGTAATGCTGGGCAGTTTGTTTCATGCATTTAGAAACATTGCTCTGCCAGGGTCCCCCACACTTCACCAGGGGGCCAAAGGGGCTCAGGACACAAAAGGGGGCAGATGCCCCAGCCCCAGCACGTTCGTATCAGCGTTTCCTCTCGCTGAATGGTCCGCCACCAGTTTCTTCGTGCTTCCGGAGCCTCTGAGCAGACAGGGACGGGCTCCTGGTGTGGCCCTGACGGCCCCCACGCCCACTGCTGCATGTCCAAGCCTGCCACGTTGATGTTCACCTTCAGAGAGGCCTCTCTGCTGGCAGCCCACAGCCCTCATCACACGGGCATGACAGCAATGCTACTGGGCTCTGGGCCCCTCAGGGCAGGGCCCTGGGCCTGAGGTGGCCCTTCAGAGAACGTGTGCAGAATAATGAGGGTGGAAGCAGCTTCCAGGTCATGCGGGCTGACTGCATGCCAAGCACCAAGCGCTTGCCAGCTTTACTCCACCATCCCCTCCGTGGGGTCTCCCAGCACTTCTGTGAGGGAGCAAACATTTGCTCCTCACGGAAGAGGAAACTCAGGCACAGAGCAGCGGACAACCCTCCGGGTGGCAGAGGGCAGAGAGCTGGTACTGGAACCCCAGACAGATCTGCCCAGAGCCTGGGAGATCACATCCTCCAAGTGCTGGCGACTGGGAATGGGAGCCTGGGCGCAAAGTGGGTGCTTCCTGAAGGTCTGTCCCCAGTGTCTGGGGGTGACTTCCATCCATACCGCTGATGGCATTGTGCCATCCCTTTGCCCAAGGCTTTTTGCTGGGTGGGGCGCCGGGAGATCTGAACTTGGCCATTTCCGTGGGGACTCAGGCCGCTGGAACCCTAGAGGTGGACGTGGCTGGAGCGGGCTCTGGGGTGCCCAAGGCCCCGGCTCTGCTTTCTCCTCCCGCACGGCCCCCATCCCTGGAGCTCCCTGGAGTTATCGTTGCTCAGGATTCTCTTACCAGGCGAACCCAGCTCCGCCGCCTGCGGGTGGCTCCTCCAGGCCTGGAAGGCCGCGGGGGCCTGCAGAGGCCAGGGCGGGGCAGGCGGCGGAGCCGGGCCGCCCCCTTCCAATGGGGGCGGGCCGGACGCGCCTTTAAATGCGGCGGGGCCCGCGGCCCGAAGAAGCCGGCCTAGGGAGCGCCCTTCTCGCGCCCCTGCGCCCGCCCGAGCCCGAGCCGCGGTGCGTGTGGCCGCGCGCGCCCCCACCCCACCCCGTCCCTCCGCAGACGTGCCCCCGGCCGGTCCCCCACGCTGCCGCCCGCCACCGGCTGGTCCGCCATGCAGGCTCGGGCGCTGCTCCTGGCCGCGCTGGCCGCGCTGGCGCTGGCCCGGGAGCCCCCGGCCGCTCCGTGTCCCGCGCGCTGCGACGTGTCGCGGTGCCCGAGCCCCCGCTGCCCCGGCGGCTACGTGCCCGACCTGTGCAACTGCTGCCTGGTGTGCGCCGCCGGCGAGGGCGAGCCGTGCGGCCGGGCCCTGGACTCGCCGTGCGGGGAGAGCCTGGAGTGCGCGCGCGGCGTGTGCCGCTGCCGCTGGGCGCACGCTGTGTGCGGCACGGACGGGCACACCTACGCCAACGTGTGCGCGTTGCAGGCGGCCAGCCGCCGCGCGCTGCAGCTCTCCGGGACGCCCGTGCGCCAGCTGCAGAAGGGCGCCTGCCCGTCGGGTAAGCAAGCGCTTGGGTCCGGGCGGCGGCGCGGGGTGCGAGCGGAGCGTTCTCCTGGGGAAGCTGGCCTCGAGGTCCCACTCCTTGGCACGAGGGGAAGGCCCTTTAGAAATCATCTTACCCGCCCACCGGCCTTCCCGGTGGGGAAGCTGAGGCCCAGACAGGTAAACTGCATTTCCAGGGGCACAGAAGTAGTCGGAAGTGAAAGCCGGTGTTCTCCTGACCACCCCACGGGCGCTTCCCGCGCCGGGCTCGCCAGCTCTGGCCTCATCGCAGACGGCCTGCTGGGTGCCCGTCCCCCCGGTGGAGTACCCCTACTCTGCCAGGGTGTTGGGTGGAAAGCCGTCTTTACTGGCCTTAAATCCCCAGTCCAGGTGCCCTTTTGAGAGATGTCTCCTTTCTAGCTGCATGTAAATGCACAACGCCAGAGGGCTATTAGGGAGTAGTGAGAGCAGATGTGGGGTCTGTGGGCTCCTGGGTGCCCCGTGGGGACGGGCTGCGGGCCCTGGCCTTTCCTGCCATACATGTTGACCTTGTGCATGGGAGAAAATGCTAGAAAACCCCGCCGTCCCTCTGTTTGGGGGGACCTCTTAGGAAGGCGGGCTGCCACCTTGATTCAACAGGTACCTGCAGAGCCCCCGATTCGCAGAGATGCTGTCAGCTTCCTGCAGCTAGGAGAGCTGCTAGCCCCAGGGCAGGTCCAGGGTCCCCGGGGGCACCAGGGGAACATGGCTGCCTGAGGTGCCAGGTGCCAGGAAGCCATCGCTGCGAGGGGCATCTTCTGGGTGGAGGTCTGCTGCGCGTGGGGAGCTGAGCTGGGAGCAGCTGGCATGTAGGGGATGGGAGTGCGTGTGACAGACACTTGAGGCTGGGCAGGCTGGCAGGAATGGGATGACACATGGCCATAAGTGCTGTGCAACCACGTTGTGCCAACAGCTCACATTTCCATTCTGTAGGCCGGGCTCCCCACATTGTGCCTGGTATTCTGAAAAGGAGTGTCCTGTGGCCCCAATAGCTTGGGAAGCTAACAGTCCCTGCAGTGAGGGTTCACACTATACTCGAGTCTATCAGAGGTTTTGAGAAACTGGCAGCAAGAAACACACACACACACACATACACACAAAAACACCCCCCCACCCCCGCCCAGGGCTTTCTAAGAGAATTTCAACAGAGCTCCTTTCCTGGCAGAGGCATGACCTCCTCCCAAAACACGGGGGCTCCAGGGGACCCAGACTGGTAATCATCTGGGATTGAATACGATCATTAGGGAGAGCCACTGAAGCGCTTTAAGGGAAGTGCAGACACTACAGTCAGACTGGGCCCAGGAGACTGTGGGATGAAAGCAGGTGTCACAGGATGTCTGAGATGGCCGTTGTCCCCTCTGCCCCCTCAGGGCAGCACATCTCTGCGGGGTGCTGCCGGGCCCAGAGGCAGGGGCTGGGGGGTGGGGGGCTGGCCTGCCCTGCAGCTAGGTTGTCTGCATCCCTGCCCTGCCTGTCCTGTGGGGGTGCTACTAGGCCAAGGCTCTGGGGCCCAGGGGTGGGCGGGGACGTGGTCCAGCATTTCCAAATCCCTCATTCCTGACTGATGGAGTCCACATCTCTGACGTCCCTTCCCTGTGTCCAGTTGGCCCTGGGCTTGTGACCAGGGCACCACCAGGAGACAGATCATCTTGCCCTTGAGAGGCTCAGACGGTCGGGAGAGTCGTGGGAGGGTGTGCAGAGGGAATGACCATGGCAGGTGCAGAGGCCACTCAGCTGGCAGGTCCCTACCGACAGTGTGGCCTTGACCGGGCACTCACCAGTCTCCTCCTCTGTGCTGTGGGCGCCGGTGGCAGTAGCCCCTGCCAGGGAGAACTGCTGGGGATTGATCAGCCAGGTGTGTAGGCACACGTCCCCAGCAGGCAGCCAACAGGCTGTTTATTGTTTCTCAAGTCCTTGTCACTGTTAAGATTGTGGCCACCACCATTTCTGTTTCATCTGCAAGGTCGGGGGTGCTTCTGGGCAGAGCTGTGGCTGCTGGGTGGGCACCCTCTAGCCAAAGGGCGGGGAGCCGAGAGGGACAGGGGCAAGCAGAAGCGGATGGAACGGCCGTGGGTGCGGATCCCACCAGCCCTGCCACCATGGGAGCCACAGCCCCAGGTACTCGGTGGGGAGCTAGGGCTGGAGAGAGACGGGAGGCCTTGGTGCAGGGAAGGCGCGAACAGGGCCCAGGGGTCTGCAAGCGCCCCACCTTGTGGTCCGTGTGGCCCCACCCCAGGGCACAGGGACCTCAGACACCCAGGTTGCAGGGCCGCACATGCAAACACGTCCTTGCGGGAAACCTGCCAGCGCTAGGGTCTGCTGCCTGCACTGCCTACTGCCCGTGAGTTTGGCCCGTCATACACCACAGGTGCGGTCAATGAGAATGGGAGAGGTCAGGTGAATGGCTGGAGGTCACCTGTCCAGGAAGCGCCTGAGCCAGGCCTGCACCATGGTCTGGCTGGCTTTGAAAACTGCCGTCTCATGAGCCCCAGGCTTTCTTCTGCAGGCAGGGGCAGTAGTGTCCCCAGGTCTGGAGTCAGGGTCTCCAGCTCCAGTGGTTCAGCCTCCAGAGAGTGTCCTTGGCAGTGTCCCCACCTCTGCCCCCTGAAGGCCTGGCCAGAAGTCACTGGGTGGTGTCCACACGCTGTGAGGGTAGGGCGCTGCCTGTCCGGACGCTCCTACGGAGTCCTGCCAGCTCTGTGCTCCCCTGAGCCTGCCTTCAGACACACACAGGCCTGACGACACAGGGGTCCTATCTCCAGCTGTGTCTCTTCCCTGGGCTGGAACCCTGGGTCCCTGCTGCTCGTGTCCTCAGGTGAGAGGACCCAGTTCAGGTCAGGAGCGTCTGTCACCCTTAGTCGTCCCCTCCCCTCACTCCTCACCTCCTGTCCACAAGCACAGTCTTGAAATGTCCCCTGTGCTAGCCACCACTCCTACTTGCCCCAGCAATGCTGGCCTCCCCTGACTCCCCACCACCCTCTCCCTCCTTCCGTCACTTGTCCACATAGCAGCCAGGATCACCCTGATAAATCCAACTTGCCCTTCACCAGGGGGATCCCTCAAAAACTCCCCACCATTTACTCTGACCTACAAGGCCCTATACCACCTGCCTCCCCGACGCCTGCAGTACAGTCTCGTCCTCTGTGCTCCAGCCGCACCGGGCTCCTTCCCACCTCAGGGCCTTTGCCAAGCTATGCGTGCCGCCCAAAACTCCCATTCACTCACCTTCCAAGCCAGGTCATCGTCCTGTCTTGGTCCAGGGGTCCTATCACCTGAACTGCTTTCTTGATTGCTATGCCAGGTAATCCCCTTCATTAACCTCATGAGCACACCTTGGGGACCCTCTAGACACCCATACCACCTGCTTGACTCATGTATTCTGCCTTACATCTATCTCACTAGGCCAGAGCCTCCCCGGAGGGGGACATCGTCCAGTGCCTGGTGCACAGTAAGTGCTGTGGAATGAATGGACTATCCATGCGATGTGTGAATGTCCTGTGGCCCTCGTACCCCTTTGCACTCCCCCAATGATGGGGGACTCACCCCCTATCCAGGAGCTCTTGCATATTCCCATCTCCATGGTTTCCTTTTCACGTAACCAGAACCCTGTGACCCTTGCAGCCTCTTCCCCCACAACTGCAGACAAATAGGCTTTTGAGCATGCAATTGATCAGCATTTAGAGCCCCTGGGCAGTTTACAACATGGCATTTAATGATCAGCATTTATTGTGCGACCCCAGAGCAGGTTCCAACAGCATCTCTGTTTTACTTAGAAGCTTTGGTCGGCTTTTGATTTTAACCTCTTAGCAGCTTCCCGGGGCTGTGCATTCTTGGGGTGCAGCATCGGGACTAATCAGGCAGTGCTGTGCCTCCTCTGCCCCCTCCCCCCACTGCCCAGGCAGGGCTGAGCTGCAGCACCTGGCACCTCCTGAGGACCCACAGGCTGCCTCAGTGCCAAGGCCACCGGAGGCGGGGAGCCCATCCAGAGAGGAGCTAAAGACCCAGGGCGCTGTGGGCCATCCTTCCTGCCCCTGGCCTTAAGCCAGCCTGGAGGTGCTGCTGGGGTCCCACAGCACCCTGTGGGGTGGCCTGCCAGGCTTCTCCCCTTTCCACGCACCTGCCGGAGGGAGCGTAGTGAGACTCGAGTCTCCCTTGCCAAAAGCCCAGCATGGGTTCCCTGCTTTCAGGACCAAGAACAGACTTCTGATGCTGCCTGCGGGCTTGGTGTGATCTGGCCTCTGTTTCCTGCCCACCATCACCGCTGCCAGCAGATCCCTGATCCCGCGTTGTGATGGACAGATGACTGCGTGGAACCCAGGCAAGGGAAATCCACCTCCAGAATTGGAATAGGGATAGATCAGGGCAGGCTCCTGGGGAAGGTGGCATGAAAACAGTCAATGGAGAAGTGGGCCCAGAGAGAGCCTGTGCAGAGGAGGATGGCAGGAAATGCTGAGCCCGGGCTAGTGCCAGATAGATGTGAGGGCTCCCCATCTTCAGCAGATGAGGGGCTCCTGAGGGCTTATGGGTAACAGGTAGGCTGAGCGGGCACAGGGGCCCAGCTAGTGGGAGGCCAGTGCCATGGGAAGGGACAGCTGATGAGGTGGCTGAGGGGGCAGGATCTGGGGACATTGGGTCTCTGGACTGATGGGGCTGGAATGGGGAGTGTCAGGATAAAATGGACGGTGGGGCCTCACCTGAAGGCAGTGCACCAGGCCTGACTTCCACGGTCTACCAGGTCCCCAGCCACTAGGATCCCTGGGGAAAGCAAGGCCTCACCAGAGGCCTGGGGTTTGTTCTCACCAGACAAGGGAGTGGGCCGATGGCTGGCCAAGTGTGCCGGTGTGTCCTGCCAGATGGCTGAGTGCTGCCACTGTCAGGGCCTGCTTTGAGAAAAGTCGCCGGGTTGACCAGAGTCAAGGATGAGAAACTGGGCTGGTGCTCCAGCCGCACAAAGCTTTAAGCACACATCATCTGGGT